ATTCCAAGTAGACTGTGACTCTAAATGTGAAATGTAAAATAGTAAAACTTCTAGCAGATAACATCAAGAAACTCTTCCAGACTGTTAGACAGACTCTAGGGTAGCCCCCATGCCATCAGCCTTGAGCACAGATGGGACCTGTGAGTTGCTTCTAACAGAATACAGTGAACATGTAAGGTTGCATGACTGGTGGCATGTTCAGTCGAGTCTGACTTTTTGCAAACTCATGGAGACTCCATGGACTATAAACTGGCAAGCTCCTCTGTCCCTGGGATTTCCCAGGCAAGAATGCTGGATCCAGTAGGTTGCCATTTCCTTCTCCAGGGGATCTTCCCAACCCAGGAATCAAACCCGGGTCTCCTTCTTGGCAGGTGGAGTCTTTACCACTGAGCCACCTGGGAACCCCAAAGTGGAAGGTATTCCAATGTAATTAAAGTCTCAAACAATCTGATTTGAAGTTATTATCAAAAGAGGGATCATCCAATATGGATCTGACTTAATCAGGTGAAATCCTTTAATAGCAGGACTCTCCTTGGGGGCCTGATGAAGTCAGCAGCTGTGAGAAGAAGCCCATGAGATAATGACCTGCAGGAGGCCTGTAGGAAGTACAGGTGGCCTCTGTGACCTGAGGTGGCAGATAGTCATTGGAAGGTGACAATGGATGCCAACAAGGGCAAATGACAGCTGCAGAACAGATGTTCCACCCCTCTGTTGCTGGGCACCGGAGAAAGCCCCTCAGAATACACATAATATATATTCTCTTAGGCAGGATTGAAAGGAGAAAATCCTGAATGGACTGAGAAATTGCTGAATTAACTAAAATGACCATGGTTAAACTGGTGCCACTAAGCAGGGGACAGAAATTAATTTCAGTTGTAGAAAAATAAAATTATATTTTTGAACTCCCAAATTTGTAGAAAATTAAATTAAAACCTATATAATTACTTTAAGCTTTGGACCTTATTGGTTTGATCACTTCAATTATTCATATATCACAATTCAGAAATAACTAACTCTGATGAGTAATTTTTCTGTCTACTATTTCATTTTTCCTGAAAGCTTGATATTCTTCTTAATATCTCACAGCAAAGAATGAACTGCCTTACTATTTGCTTCAATTCCATAGTCTTGATGACTTTTAAAATCCAATTTGTCTTAGACATAAAATATTTACTATTTTAAACACTTAGTTAATTTCTATTGACTCATACTCTTCTAAATATTACACTCCTGAGATTGCCTAGTCCATTAGTCCTGGAAGGGCTCCTAACATAATATCTTTCCAAATTCATTATTATTAGTTTTAGGGAAGTTTTTGTCCTTGAGCAGAGTTAAAATATTTTTCAATGATAGTTGAGCAAATATTCAGTGAGATAAGCCACCAGGTATAACTGATGCAAGAAGTACTTTTGAAGGACAGAACTGCAAAGAACAGAATTTCAAGGGGCAAAGATAAATTCACAATTGCAGGTTTAGTCACCATAAGCATACGAAAGGCGTATAGATTCAGCAACCACCACCAGCACACACGGCAGACACAAATGCACCATAGCCTTTGCACAAAGAAATTCTCAGTCATCTTTTCAATTGTAGTTTCCCTATCGCATGTGTACTAAGTTGCTTCCGTCGTGGTGTCTGACTCTCTGTGACCCTACGGACTGTAGCCCGCCAGGCTCCTCTGTCCATGGGCTTCACCAGGCAAGAATACTGGAGTGGGTTGTCCCCTTCTCCAGGAGACCTTCTCAAGCCAGCGATCAAAGTTGCTTCTCTTGCCACTCCTGCACTGCAGGCAGATTACCGCTAAGCCACCAGGAAAGTTACCCTTTTGGCCCACTCCATCTGTACTACACTCAAAATTCATATAATTCCTAGCCACAGAGAAGGGTCTATTCATGCTTAGATGATAGCCCTACTTGCATTTTTGCCCCCTTCAATTTATTCCCAACCGAGAGCCAGAATGATCCATCTAGACATGTCCAATCACATCCCTCCTTCAACAGTATAAATTGCTCACTGAGGATAAATCACAAAGTCCTTACAACAGCAGGATCTCTTTCCACCTTTCTGCTCTCAGCTACTACCTATAGACCATTCACTTCACTTCAGCCTCATTGGTCTCAATTTGTTCATACAAGCACATGTCTCTTGGCCTGTGACAATCTTCAGATTTCCACAAAGTTTATTACTCTCTTGTGTTTTCCAAATCTTTGCTCATATGTTCTCTTCTTAATGAGACCATCCCTTTAAAGTTTCACCCTCTACATGCATTATTTTTTTTCATAGCAGTTATCACCTCATAATTAAATGATTATTTATTTCCTTATTTTCTGTTTCCATGCATCAAAATGTAAACTTTATGAGGGAATTTGTTTTCTGTTTTGTTCACTGATGGGCCACTAACCCCCAAAACACTGCCTGGCACATAGTATGCCATCAGTAAATACTTGCTGAATGAAGGCATGATAACATAGCTTGCAGGCATAACTACAAAAAGTAGGTATTTATTACACTGCTTTTCTTTGATATATTTCATTTTTAACTACCAAATCCAGGACTTCTGCTACGAATAGTATCACAGCAAACTTCTGTCTATCCTATGTCCAATACTTTGTATTTTTACCTCCATCCTTTTCTAAGGGATCATGACAGCCATTAAATATTCCTGGCGATTTGGCCTTAGGTTCTGATTTCTAAACCTTAGCCAAGTGTGATAATGTCGCTTCTCTGTGTATCTGTAAAAGGTAATAATTACTGACACCACTGCCCAGAATTTAAGATAAATATCAAGATGACAATGGAAATCGGTTAAAATTTCTTCAATAACTGTAATGAATAAAAGAGAATGATAGTATGAGAACAGCAGTAGAGAAAATCAGCTGCAAAATATAAACAGAGTTGCAGACTAGAATCTTCTTTCTTCCATAGATGATATCCTATATCTTGACATGGGTTTGATTTTAACAAGTGTATTCATTGGGTGGGCTTGCCAGTTGGTGCTACTGGTAAAGGAACCCATCTGCCAATGCAGGAGATGTAAGAGATGCAGGTTCGATCCCTGGATCCAGAAGATCCCATGGAAGATGGCATTTCAACCCACTACAATATTCTTGCCTGGAGAATTCCATGGACAGAGGAGTCTGGCAAGCTACAATCCACAGGGTGGCAAAGAGTCAGACATGACTGAAACAACTTAGCATGCACACTCATTGGGCAAAACTCAATGCCTGAGCTGGTAATGCTTGTATATTTTAAAAATAGTAATTCAGTATTAAATTCTGGTTCATTATATATGCATGCTGAAATATTTAGGGATAACTGTACTGATATCTGCAATTTCCTTTGAAATACATTAGAATGAAAAAAATGGATTAAAGGAAGGATAAAAGATATATAAATAGGTGATAAAGGGCCTATAGAACAATATAAGTGAGAATTTGGGTTGTGGTTATATATGGTGTTGTTTTTCATTGTAAATTCTCTCAACTGTGCTGTATATTTGAAAAAGATCATCATAAAAATGCTTTAAAATTGAGAATCTCAGCTCCTACAATGTCTTATTAGAAACACCGCTCTGGATCAATGACCCTTGTGATTAATGCATCTCCTTGGGATGGAAGAGTCTGAAGAAAGACTTCAAGGCCCTAAAGGCTGTGGCCAGGACCTCCAGCAGCTTCTTCCCCATCCCTGATGATTTGTTTGAATTGAACTAGAGTCTTGGTCATAGGAACCCTGGCATCCAACTTGGACTGGAAATATGCTTTCCCCGCAGAAGGATGAAATATAAATACATCTTTAGACTCACTGGCCTTGTGATCACAAAGTTTCACATAAACTTATAGTATAAATGTTTAGGTATAAAAAGAAAGTATTTCAGCCCCATTGCAATTTTATCCTTTTGTTCTCCCTGTAAAAAATACACTGAAATTTATTGCAAGGACCTTATAAAAGTAATAAAATAATGTAAAGTGATCATAAAACCAATCACATATTTTATAGAAAATAGCAGAATAAAATCACTTTTTTGTGAGATGTCAAATGCAAAGAAATTTATGATATAAGACAACTTTCTGCTGTCTTTAGGCATCTAAAGTGTTCAATTTCTTGTGTTCTTGTAGGACTGGGAAGACATTTATTACTGTCAATTTGAAAAAGCTCTACTGACCACTCTCCATGCTTATAGGAATGTTCAGTGTGAATTCTGTTAACTGAAAAACCTTTTTAATAAATGCCTTTCTTGTCTTTTCCATTATGTTTACTTAGACTGTATCCCTCCATATCAGTCAAAAGAACAAACAAAACAAAAAACATTCAGGCTTCCTAAAATCATACCCTTTGAAACAAGTTGCTATCATGACATACTAAGGTCTACTGACTTCAGTCTATGCAGAAATGTAAACAAAATAAATACAGAGATAATCAGGCAATTCAGGTTGAATATGACCCAGGAATTCAGCATGCTTCCAAATAAACAACTGCTATCTTGGAGTGAATTAATAAAAGCGTAATGAGATCAAATGAAGCATTAACTCAATTAGTAGGACTCTGTCAAGATAAAGATTCAATAAGGAATTTATAGAAATTTTTAAAACTAGAATACGTTTCTGAGAAGACACACAAAATAATATTTAAAAGAATGGAACTAGGACTTTCTTGGTGGCCCAATGGTTAAGAATCTGCCTTCCAAGGCAGGGGAAGTGGGTTCAATCCCCGGTCGGGGAACTAAGATCCCACATGCCATGGGGGAACTAAGCTGGAGTAACACAACTAGAAATCCTGCATGCTGCAATGAAGACCTGGAGCAGCCAAATAAATATTTTTTTTAAAAAACCTCACACTGCATTAAAATAAATACATAAAAGAACGGAACTGAATGGAAAACCGTGGGGAAAAAATAGACAAAAAAAGTGACACAGCTGGTGACTGTCTGCCCTCCAGCTTTGCTGGAACAGAGCAAGATGGAACAATTGACAACAATAGGTTAAATAAGACAGAATACTCACTCAACACCCCCTTTCAGTCTTCAGTGAGCTTTTTCTTTCTGAAACATTGTAACTGTCAGTTGCTCGCTCCCTTAGGATGAGTCTCCTCTCCTTCTTAAAGTAGAACTCCATGCTCATCTTATCTTGATAGTCACTTTTTATATCTATGGTCTCCAAGGTCATAAAAAGAAGGCAAGAGTTTGGAAATGAAATGGGTTAGTCTCCACATAACATTTTACTTTTACTGTGTTCCTTTGCTTTTACTTTTTTACTTTTACTGAGTGCTGTAAAATGTGGATGTTATTTAAAATTACACCCTTTTTTTTGACCCCCTTTTCTTTTTATTCTCTTTCTCCTTCCTGTATAATCTCACCCACACATGCTGGTGACTCTGAAAATTACATTCTAACTTTAATCTCTTTTGTAAACTCCAAACTGAATTCTCTTCTTCTCAGGTATCTTGCAGGTACATAAAACTTCATCATGTTGAAAACCAAACTTATCATTTCTGCCTAAACCTTCTTCTTGTATAATATTTTCTATTAATGGCATTCCTATCAAAGTCATTGGAGAAGGAAAGGGCAACCCACCCCAGTCTTCTTGCATGAGAAATCCCATGGACAGAAGAGTCTTGCAGGCTATAGTCCATTCCCTGGGGTCACGAAGGGTCAGACATGACTTAGTGACTAAACAACAATAACATCAAAGCAATCCACCAAATTAGCAACCATGAAATGACCTAAGATTCTCTGCCTCTTTCTCAACCTCCCACATTATGGGGTTCTGCTGTCTCTTCTTTCTGTACTGATGCTTCTTGAAAGTAAGGACTTATTGTATACATCCTTATCTTAGTGCCTAGAAGGGTGTCTAGTACATATAAGGTGTACCAGGTAGGATGGAAAAGAGGAGAGAAGAAAGGAAAGGAGGGAGAAACAGAAGAAAGAATAATGAAAAAAAAATGAAAGAAGATAGAGATGTAAGGAGGAAAGCAATTAATAAAATAACTTAGCTATTACTCATAATAGGATAGTTTAAGTTTATAACAGCTGATAGCTGAGGCTGTAATTCTTCTGTGGCAGAGAGCTCTTTTTGCTGGAAAGACTTATGAAAGGTCTTTAGAGTAAAAGTTAAGCCCCTCAAGGCCTACTTATCAATCAATGAAAGCTTGGAGGGAATGTGGAATACTCTTTGTAACAAGAAGAGTTTGGAGAATTCCAAGGCAAAATAAGAGTGATACACAGAAAAAATGAGGCAAACACTCATGAGGACAATGCAATCATCACCATGCCTCTCAAATCTTCCATCAGTTCTAGGAAACCCATTAAAATCTTGGTGTGAGTGGATATTTTCATTCTTGAAATGCAGTGAAATGATGGAATTTAGAATCTAGGTTTACATAGGATAAAACATGAGACAAATTAAGGGACGAAAAAGCCAGAGTGTTAGGGAACCATTGGTCAAAACTGCCCAACTTATCTTGCCACGATGATAACCACTTGCATGAGCTATTTCACAGCAGGAGGTCCCAGTGAGGAACATGGTGCTGTCACGGAAAAAACTCCGGGAAAATTCAGAAGGGGCCAAAAAAAAGAAGACACCAGCCCATAATATGCCCTACCAAACTCCCAGAATCCTTTGCACTGGAATCTATCTTGGCTGAGAGCTGCATGCACCACCAGGAAGGACTCTGAGTCAAATTAAGGCAAGATGACTGGCCAGAGAAAATTCAGAAACTCACCCCATCACCATAAGGCCTGAGACCGTAAGCCACACGGCAGAGCAGGTCTCCTGGTTTCCCTTACCGCATTGTTCTCCATCCCGGCACGCCGTTCCAATAAGGTCTTTTGCTTTGTAAGCACATGTATCTCCTCGGAAAGTTCATTTCCAAGTGTTAGACAAGAGCCCATTCTGGACGGGGTACCTCTCCTGCAACAAGAGGAGAAGGCAACAAGTAGACCTGGGGTTACATTCACAGTCACACATTACAGCCAAAGTACTTAGATTTGCCGTGACCGTGGCAGGCGAAGCGTGACCTCAGCCTCACCAGGGAATCTAACATGGATTATCGGATCACAAGGAAAATGATTATATCCAAAACATCAAACCAAGGTTACAAAACTAAATGCTCAAGATTGTACCTGACATAGCTCTAGTTCAAATTCAGAGACAGGGCCAAATAAACCGGCTTAAAATTCTTATTCTAAGTCAAGAATTTCAGCTTTGATCTTGGGCCACTACTTTTTCCTAGAGCCATCTAGAATAGTGGTATGATCCCTAAAGAGGTTTAAATACTTGAAGCTAGTACATCCTTGAAAACAGATACTGCTTCCTATTGCTCAAATAGAAGGAAATCTGTATAAGCTGATAAGCACTTTGGCAGGAGGCCAACAACTTCAATATACTCTTTTTTTTTTTTTAACTTTTCAAGGGGTTCAGTAGTCACCAATCTACACCTGTGTTCTTATAGTTAAGTGAGATGGGGAGTAGAAAAAGGAAATGGAAATACCTGATGGTTTGAGGTAGAAATATTTATGTCTGCCAATATCAGGTTCTAAATATAAAAAATTTCTTACTATTGGACCACTACACCCTTCACACTCATTTTTATGCTATATAGGTTAGTTTACTTTCTTTATATGCTACACTCTGAGCTTTATAACTTGTAATTATATGTGTTGTTATATAAAAAATGAATGTAACTACTCATTTTGACAGGCTAATGAGGTTCAGGATTGCAAAATGGTAGAAGTATGTGATTTCATAGAAAATTCTACTACCATACTTGTTTTATATAATAAACCAAGTTGCAGGCCTCCAAAACATGCTGCTGTCTTATAGTAAAACCATTCACAGCCATAGCTAAGGCAAGAGGCTTCCTAGTTTTCAATCAGTGGCAGCCACCTTGGCTATAAAAGAAAATCTCTGGGTGGTTTTGTGGCAGAAAATGAGTCAACACTCAAGAACACTCCAAAAACTGTTAGTCATCAAAATAAACTAGCAAAGCCTCAAAGTCATTAGAAAATATCAAATATTAAGGAGTTATAACAATCTTAGATACTGCCTACTCTACCAACGGCATTTACATAGCATTTTTTCACTTCACTCATTTTCTTGGTTATTGGCATTGTTCCAAGATAATAATAGTATCTCCTCTTCACTCTAAGATGCTCTTTGTCACATATACTTTACATTAAAAACACTGTCCAGAAACTTTACACTGCATTTTTCAAATGCATATTCCCTTACATAGTATTAATACCAACTATCCACATAAGATAAACACTTTTTTCCCTTGACCAACAGAGGACCTTTTGTTTCTTTAAATCAGCCATATTTGGAAACTTTTATATTATATATAAAACTTTATATATTATATTATATATAAAATATATATTGTATTATATATACTATTATACATAATAGTATATATTATATTTTATATATATTATATGTAAAATATATGTTATATTATATATAAAATATATATTATATATAATACTTTTATATTATATATTATAGCACCAAAGAAAAACACCAGTGACATTCTCTAGACTTTTCCTTTCTTTCTTTGAAACTTTCCCTCTGACATCCTGGTGACATGAACAGTCAATATGTGAAACAGCAGCTTCACATGGACTCCAGGTCAAGAGCCAGCAAATTACTTGGTCCACTTAAAAAAGAGAATGAATAGGCTTCTAATTACAGTGATGTCAAACATAGACGAGAAGAAACACTGGATTTCACCTCTGAATCCCTGCTTTATAATTGAGCTACTCCGCATGGTATGGAGTAAGCTCCCTCACTGTTTTCTGACATAACTGGCCATATTACCTCACCTTTGTGGAAGCTGTCTTCCTTTCAATTCCATAATAGAGCAAGGAGAGAATGTCCTAATGACCAAAAATGCTATTTTTGCACGAGTACCTCTCACCCTTTTTCAGAATCTATTCATTCTTAATTCAAACAGAATTTGAAGAAGCCTAAAGGCAGCACAGTATCATTATTAAGAGCATGGACTCCAGAGTCAGACTGAGTTGAATCTTGGCTCGGGTGTTTACCAACTCTGTGACCTTAAGTTACTTAAACTCAGTGCTCTGTCTTATCACTGGTAAGATGAGGAAAACAATACCTTTGATAGAGTTCTTTTAGAATAAAATTAATTAAAATATGTAAAATACCTAGAACTGTTCCAGGCATAGTTTTTGTTTGATTTCTAAACCTATAAAATATGCAGTAAAAAGAAAAGAGAAAAGTAGGCATTTGCACTGACACCAGCAAGCATTACCAACTCAAAGTCTTAACAGCAAAGGGAAGAGATGGGGGTATTGCTTTAAAACAGATGTGAGTACTAGGAACACAGAGTATGGGAACTGAGAAATGGAATATCTCCTGCTATATTAGTAAACAAGGCTGTCACAGTCATCAGCGATTACAGCCCTCCAACAGGAGCTGATGAGGCCTAAAGGCACTCAAAAAGGAAAAGAATACCTGTGACCTGACAGCCATCAGACTGCAGCCATTCCCTATGGTGAGCCCCAGGAGAACTCAGGATGTGAAAAACACAGGATACTGGCCCGGATAGCTGACATGCATATGGAAGGAATGATTGCAGTGAGCTCAGACTCTTGCATCTTCCCATACATAGAAAGCGCTACATTCCTTAATGGGATATAAGGTTTTCTTTAATTAACAGTAATCTTCTGTTGACTACCTACCCTTTGTTGGCAAACTTCTATATAATTTTGCTCCTATCCCTCCCCTCCTTGGAGCAGTTCTCTTAGGGTTACTTGAGATGCTCTGGGCATAAGTCCGAAGAATTTCCACCAAATAAAACATAACTCTCAACTTTTAGGTTGTAAATATTTTTTAAGACGACAGAATAAAAGCCTGGTGAGCATCCAAGGGCATCACTCTATTACATTGCGATGGAGCAGTGAACATTTATTAACAGGAACCTGAACCATCATGTCTGAGGACCTCTATTTCAGCTCAGTAAAATAGTTAATGTTTGTAAAGATAACCCTAAGCATTTAAGAAATGATTGAAATAGGCTTAACGATTTCACTGAAGCTGCAATAAAAGTTGAAAGATTTCTACTCAAAATACTCAAATAAAAATTTTTAGTGTCATATACATACTTAACTAGCCAAAATACTCAA